CAAATGAAGTGGAGATGGCAGCATTTCCTTGGTGTCATATTGATACCTCCAGAAGGATTTACAAGTATTTGTGCATCACAGACTTGAAAGATGCAGGGGAATCTCCTGCCACAACTGGGCACCACTGGTGAGGGTTTAGGTGATGGAAGCTTGTATCTCCTCCGTGTCTTGGGTAATGTTGCTGATCTCTTTCTTGTGTATCAAGACAACGCTGCTTTCACTGGTACCCTGTAATAAGCAAACATGTTAATTTCCCCAAGCAATGTTTTCTCTCGTCTCTCCATCAGTCTGAGCTTGCGACTGGTATTGATCAAAACGGTGTTCACACAGTACATTATGCATTACAGATAACTTTTCTCAGTACGTGACTCGTTTTTCCACTTTTGTTTTGGTATCTACAAAAGTTTATATTAACATATTCAAGTTGATTAGTATTTCCCTTTTTATGTTTTACTTTTGTAGCTTTTAGAAATGCCTTTACTTCAAGACCATAAATACCTTCTGTTACAATTTTACTAATTTTGCATATTATATATAATACCTTTTATATATTTTTTAAATTATATTGCATATAATATGATTGTTTTTCTTTCTATTGTTTGGGATTCATTGAGGGTACAAAGAATTAGGTTACACTGATTGCATCTGTTAGGTAAATTCCCTTTTATAATTGTGTCCCGTCCCTAAGAGGTGTGTCACACACCATGACCCCCCCAAACCTCCCCTCCCTCTTCCCCATCCCCAACCATGTACTATGTCATCAATTGTCCTCATCTCAGAACTGAGTACATTGGATTCTTGCTTCTCCATTCTTGTGAAGCTTTACTAAGAAGAATGCGTTCCACCTATATGATTGTTACATAAACTATGCTTTACTCTGATAATCCTTACCTTTATTGTTTAGAAGTCAGCTTCCTACTGATTTGGCCTCACTATCTATAGTAATATTTTTCAACCTTTCTTACCTCACAGCACACTTGAACCTATAGTTAAAACTTCCGTGGCATGCTGAAAGTATGTTGATAAAAAAAAAAAAAAAGAGTAAAGAAAAGAATATACTTACTGTGCTTTGACTTTGTGTCAAAAATAATTAATTAATGATCTTTAAAAAAAATTCCAATTCATGTGCGGGTACAATAGAGGTTACAATGAGGGTACAAATTCATATGAGGGTACAAAAAGGTTACACATAGAGGTTACAATGTTGCGTTTGTGAGATAAGGCCCCTGCTGTAGTTGTGTCCTGCACCCAGGAGGTATGCCCTATACCCTTACTTTGGGCCCGTTAGGTTGGGAGCATATCAGTAATTAAGGATTTTTAAAAAATTTTGTGGCACATCTAAGATCCTCTTCTGGCACCTAACTTGCCTAGGCACACCAGTTGATAATCACTGATCTATAGTGTTAGAATAGCTACTTTTGCCCTGTTGACTGTACCCAATCATTGTGATGCTCTGTGCAGCTGAGATAAGATAAAACTTTGTTTACGCTTATCCATACATTCCTTTCTAAAATACATAGAACACAGACTGTTTCATGTTTGCTGCCTAAGAACTTTTTATGGTTCCCAGCTGGATAGTTCTATTATCATTTACATAGCACTTAGTGTGCACCAGCCACTGTTTCATGAGGTTTTACGTATATTGACTAATTTAATTACAGACAAAACAAAATTATGAGGTGGAGGGTATTATTCTTTTACTCTCATTTTATAGCTGCAGAAAACAAGGCACAATGAAGTTAAATAAGTCGGAAGAATGGGGGATTCAAACCTTGCTCTTTGGCTGCGGAATTTGGACCTTTAATGTCTACATTGTGCTGTTTTGCTCACCAAGGGTCTCTACTGAATATAGAATCAAGTCAAAAGTTTCCCAGCACCCCGTCCACCTACACGCTGTGTTGGATCATGCTTTTAATCTCTGCCTGTTTTCCATGTCGGGATCTATACTGCAGCCTGTGGCTCACCACACTGGACAGCTTGTTTGTACCTTACTCAGGTTTTTCTCTTAGTCAAGGATAGCCTTCTAAATGTTCCTCACCTTTTCATTTTATTTTTTTCATTCACTTTTTCTAACAAAGATTTATTGAGTCGTACTCTGTGTCAGGCGCCAGGCCTGGGTCCTAGGTTACCAGAGTAAGAAGGCAAATCCCTGTTGCAAGGGTCTTTCTGTGAATGAGGGGCAGTCACAGCCCAGAGCTAACTACATAATCTCCAGCATTCTCTGCTCTCTCTCCAGTCCCAAAATTCATCTCGGAACTCTCTGAACATTCCTGAAACCTTTGCTGCCGTGTATTCCACCTGGTGATCAGTTGTGTCCATGTCCTCTGCTTCCTGCAGAGAAAGTGTGGGAGTTGCAGATGTCAATTCATCTATGCATTGAGTAGCCTTTGAAGAAATGGCTGCATTGATCTGAATGAATAGATGAAGAAAGTTAAAAAGATAACTAAATATTAAGTGGTGAGATGCGAAGGAGAGATTTTGTGTTTTTAATTTTTTTTTAAAAGACTATCTATGTATCTATTGGGGGGTAGTCCAAATGGTTAACAACTAAATTAGGAATAGAAAGAGCACTAACCTTATTTATTCTTTCTCCAGCAGTAACTTTAGATATCAAGACTTTTGAATGGGCAAAAAGGATCCCTGAAGCCTGCAAAGATGTTAATTATAAGGAAACAGCAATTTACATTATTTATAAGGGAGCTATTTACATTACTTAGCCCTGTCAGACACAATAGCTGCACAGTTCCCTTCTTTCATTACAGGGAAAAGAATAATGCAAAGTGACAAGGACATAGAAAAGATATTATAATGGCTGCATCTCATTACAAGGAAGATAACACCTCTAAAATGTTAAAAAAAAATGCCTCAAATTTAATTTAAAAGGAACAAAATGGAAACTTCCATTTTACCCCAGTAATGATTCAGAATATAACACCCATTTAAATATTCAGACGAGCTTCCCAAAACTATTGCCAGTTAAGTATCCTTAGGTTTAGTGTGTGCACGGAGGAAAATGACTAAGATGTGATGTTTCATAATTCAAGTATTTGAATTTAATTAGTCATATTTTCTTTTACCAGTGACTTTGAAATGGAAGTGTCTGCACTATGAAAAAGCTTGTTTGCGAGAGCAGCCAGATTAGAAGGAAAAACACCATTTAAGTCTGTTTTGTTTTTATTTTCTTTCCTCCTCTCTGACCACTTTAATTTAATTTTACCCTGCTGTTTCACTTTCATCAATATAATAGATAGCACTCGGTGGCAAATGACATCAGCCTTTGATCTGAAGTGGACAAGTCTGCTCTGTGAGAACAAGGAAAAAGATCAGAAGACAGAAGATTTACCAAGCTGATTAAAAAAAAAAGCCTATTAATATATACATCTGGGGGCGGGGGGGTAAATGTCCAGTGATGAATATTTCTCTCTGGGCCTATGTTCTTTAAAGTCTTCAAATTTGTCTTGGTCACCCTGAGTCAAGATAAAATCTTTATCAATCAAAGGATGATATCTACATCCTGATTAGAGAATTGGGCATTTACAATGAGGTGTATTGCATTTTGGCTTGCTAGGTAGGTTCTCTGGCCACCATTACCTGTCTCAATGAGCAAAATCATCTTTTCTTAGGCCAGTCTCACAAATTAGCACATGCCCACAGAGTCTGCAAGAAATTAGGTCAGACCTGAAAGAAATCAGTCTGTGGTCCAATAAGCCTCTTAATCTTAAATGTGAAATCAGGTTCCCAGGGTGTTAGGATCACTACCTTTATTTGTTTTTAAGTGTGACAGAACTGGTAACAACTTTCAGTGTTAAAGCCTATTTTTCTAAGCTATCAAATATTTCTGGTCCTTAGATAATTTTTGATACTGCATAATTTATAAGGAAAGCAGAGTCTCTATTATTCGGAAACTCGTACTTTAAATTAATGAATTCAACTCTTACTGTTGCCCATAATAGGTAGGGAAAGAAGAACTTACTTGCTTCCAAGAATTTTCCTGGAGGCCTGTAGTTTCCCCATCAGAAGTAAAGTTTCCTAAAATCACTGTTTAAAATGCAAAAGTATTTCAAAAGACAATACTTCAAACTACTAGAAGGTATTAATGCCCAATACTTAGGATTAAGTAAAATGCACACTAATTTAGAATATAGCAATAATTAGAATAAGGCTGAAAGGCTAATAAATAAATAGGATCATAACTGTTAGAGGCACAGACTATCATCCCCACATTTTCAGACCTCAAGTTATGGAAAGAGGAAAGAGATTGGATCAGTTCCACCCACTATCCTGGGAGACAGGTTCCAAGACCCCTGGAGGGATACCAAAATCTGTGTATGCTCAAGTTCCTTAAATAAAATGGTATAGTGTATGCATATAACCTACACACGTCCTCCAGTAGACTCTAAATTCTAAATCGTCTCTAGATTACTAATGTAAATGCTATGTAAATAGTCGTGCTGATGTTGCAAAATTTACGTATTTTTTATTGCTGTACTGTGGTTTTTTTCCCTGAATAATTTTGATCTGAGGTTGCTTGAAAGCTTTGGTTTTCTAAACTGAGAAATGGATATGCTAATAGCGTACTAGTTGTAAAGTTGTTATGATGATGAAATGAGATAAATGAAATTATGTATCTCAAATGTTTAGAAGAATGCCTGACACACGTTAATGCTCATCATTGTTATCGTTATTGATATTAAGCGGCCAAAATGGGGAAAGAGTATAGTCTGGATTTGTGATTGTAAATTTTTGGCTCTAATATTCGCAGGCTTTCTGTTCAGAACCTTGTTTCTATTTTCGTCTCATAGGGCGGCGTCGCCGGGCGCCACAGTGCAGAAAAAACACTCGGGAGGTTCGGGCCTTTCCGGACTCGGTCTTTTCTTCCTCTGTCCAGCAGGGGCCGCTGCGTTTCCCGGAAAGCGCACGGTTGGATACGTGGTTGCTGGGAGACCGTCGCCAGGCAACCGCGTGTACACTCGCTCCCAGCCGACCCAGGTCCTGTCAGCATGGCGGCGCAGGGCGCCACTTCGAGCTCTCCCTCAGACGAGTCCCCGGTGTCCAAGTCGCCTATCGAGTTGCCGCCCACCCCACCACCGACCTCGACCGCGTTTTCCAAGTCGACGGAAAGCCCCTTGAGTTCTCCGCTTGGCTGGGTCTGCCCCGAGGACTCGTTGCCCTTAGCCGTGTTCTATGGGCCTCTGGACGCTAAAAACCCACTCCTGGCCTCTTTCGAGAAGGACATCCGCGAGTTGTTAGGGTTCATGAAGAAAAAGAAGGCTTCGGCGACAACGGAGCAACGGCTGCAGGAACTCCGGCGGCGTAGGTAAGCGGAGGCGGGGCGCAGGGTGGGGGCGGCGGCCGGAGAAGGGGCCGGAGAGGGGCCGGCGGAGCCGGCGCGCCCTGGCTGAAGGGCCCCGGAGTCATAAAGTTTTAGGAAGTGGAGATTCCCTACTCTTAATAATTCTCACTCCTGGGAGCTGTTCTATCTGGGCTTCCAGTGCAGGTCAAAATAAAAATCAATCCAGAAACGCTTCTCTGTCTTGCTACTCTATGCTAATCAATTTTTGGTCCTCTCGGGGGTTTCACAACTTATCATGTTTGTCTATGAGGTTTTGTAGATGGAGAAAATGGGATGACTTTGAAGTAGCTTAGGTTCTTGAAAAAGTTAGTTCTTGACACGGGTGAAGTATGTCACGTGCACTTTAATTCCTTATTCTATTGTTATTAGGATTACAGGTGATTTTTTCTTAATTTTGTGACTTATTCTGCACATCTGTTTACCTTTTGGGGGGCTCTATCGCCATGTTACTAATATTACTACAGACTGCAAACTATCTGTTTTTAAGGTTCTTTCCCATTTTATATTAGCATCTTTCTTTTCTGGTCAAATACCTTGCAAACTGAACAGTTACAAATGTTGATAAGTGGCAAAGAATACCAGTATAGTGAATAGTTTTCATTTTCATGCATTTAATAGAAAGATAGTTTTAACATTTATTATTCATTCATTCATTTAACAACTGTTTGTTGAGCACCTACTATATATCAGGTACCATTGTAGGAACTGGGAAAATGTCAAGTTAAGAAAAGATGGAAACATCTTTATCTTCACAGAGTATATATTTTTGTGAGTCTAGACAATCACTAAATAAATACGTAAGCAAAGTATTTTACAAGGAGACGAATGCTGGAAAAATAGAACAGGGAACGGGGATGCAGGATATGGGATGAACGCTGTAATTTTAAATGGGGTTGTGTGGAACATGGTTGGGGAAGGTCAGGCAAAGTGGCTTTAAGAGAGATGAGAAAGAGATGTGGGAACAATTGATGAGGTTTTCTAAATAAAGAGGTCACATAGGAAGAAAGGCAAGTGGGAAGGACCTGGGGGTGACTTTGTGATTGTGGGAAGAGCAGGAGGGACGGAGATCGAGTTTGCTTTTATATATATATTGAGATGTAATTCAACATCCAGGCAGAGCTATTGTGTAGGTAGGTGGACATTTGACTCTGGAGGTCAGAGGAGATATACATTTGGGATTCATCAGCTGTTCATGATGTCTAAATCATGACACTTGATGAAATAGCTAAGGGAGTGAGCGAGGTGCAAAAAGGGAGAGTCCAAGGACTGAGTCCTGGGAGGCTCCTCATGTTGACAAGTAGGGATACTAAAAAGAAAGCAATAGAGGATAAGACCGAGTGGCCAATGAGGTGGAGAAAAACCAGTCCATGCCTGGTGTACTGGAATCGGGTAGAGGAAATGTTTCTGGGAAGAAGTGATCATCTGTGGCAAATCCTGACCAAGCAAGATGAGAACCAAGAACGGATAAGGGAGAGCACATTCCATACCTGGCCTCTATATACTTATGTTTGAACAGTTTATGGGGCTGTGCTTTATCTTCCCATCTCCACCATCAGCTTCCAGTCCAAACCACTACCATTTCTCATCTTCCCTGCAGCCACTCTCCCTCAAATTTATCCTTCACAGAGCTCTCAGAATGATCTTTGAAATAAACCACCTACTCTGATCTGAAGTCTTTCTATTGCTTACCGTTGCTTTTGGAATAAAATCAAGACACCTTCTGCTACTTTCCAGGGTCTGAGGATCTGACCCTACCTCTCATCCTTCACTTTTCTCTCAGGGCTTTCCAGAGTAACATGTTGGTCCAGCTGTTTCTCACCCCAAACCTTTATATTTACTATCTACTTTGTTTGAATGTTCTTCCCCTAGTTTTTAAAAAATCTGGCTCTTTCTCCTCTATCAGGCTCAGCTTAGTGGTCACCTCCTAAAGGAGCCTTTCCTATCTCATGTAGGTTCAGCCATCATCTTATATTTTTTACATATTTGATTTCTTGAGTATTCTCTGCCTCCCTATTAGAATGTAAGCACTCTGGTGACTTTGGTTAATGCATCTCCTTTTCATTGCTCTATCCCCAGCACTTAACCTAGGAGTTGGGACATAGTAAACATTTAATAAATATTTAGTAATGAAAGTATTCAAGGGTTGTGATCCTTGTATTATCAGTTATCATGAACATTCTATATAGGAAAGTAGACCTGGGGCAAATGTAAGTACAGTATCTGTCCCATCTTTAAACAGACTATAAGAATCACAAACATTAAGGATTGACATGGCCCTTAACCATTCAGCCTCTCACACAATTTAGATCTTAGTAGTCCAGAGAGAGAGAGATAGACTTTCAGTGAGTCAAGTCAATACACAAATGCTATGAAAGAAGCAGCAGCTGAGCACTTGTGGTGTGACAGGCATCGTACCAGGCACCAGGGATACAGCCGTGAACCAGACGTGAATTTCTCCCTTCTTGGAGTTGATAGTCTAGAGGGGAAACTTAGACAATAAACATAGCAAATAGACACATTTTATTTATCGCCTAGAAAATGATAAACACTAGGGAGAAAAGAAGAAGAGATTATGGAGTGAGAGGCAGGAGGCTGCAATTTTTGTAAGGTGGTCAGAGCACATGACTCAAGCAGAGGCTTGAGAATATAGTAGGGACTTTACTTTCAAATGGGTGAAAGGGGACATGCCATTAAGTTGAGATTAGAAGGATACTAGGGCGTTGACCAGACGAATGGAGAAACTAAGCAGAGAAAACAAGCATGTAGGAAGATCCCTGATGGAACAGACCCAGGTGTTTTGGAGGAATGGATGGAATCTCTTTTAGCAGGAGCAAAGTGAAGCTGGGTACGATGGTATGAGATGAGATTTAGAGAAACAGGGCTTTGGAAGGTTTTAGAGACCATTCTAAAGAGTTTACATTTATTCTCAATGGAATGGGAAAGCCTTGGGTAGTTTTTGGTACCTTATGTGATATTTGTTTATTTACTTATTTTTGAGACACACTCTTACTCTCTTGCCCTGAGGTTGAGTACCATGGCATCATCATAGCTTACAGAAACCTCAGACTCCTGGGCTCATGCCTCAGCTTCCCAAGTAGCTGGGATTACAGCTACCCACCGTAATGCCCAGCTAATTTTTCTGTTTTTTGTAGGGACAGGGTCTTGCTCTTGTTCAGGCTGGTCTTGAACTCCTGAGCTCAAGCAATCTACCTGCGTTGACCTCATAGAGTGCTAGAATTACAAGCATAAGCCACTGCACCCAGCATGTGATTTTTATTTTGAAATGTGCTTTTGGTGATCATGTCCAACAGGAGCAAGAATGGCAGTGTGGAGAAGAGTTAGGAGTCCAGGAGGTAGGATTTGCTTTTATAAGACATTTGACAGATGGTTATTTTTTTTAAATCAAAGTTTGTTTCTTATTTTAACTTGAGGAGCTTCCATAAGCATAAAATTCACCGCATCTAAAATATAAATTTTCATCATGTCATTAAATAAGAGTGTGATACATTTTTTTAAAAATATGCTTTTGCTGTATGCATGTAAGACTTAGATATTCTGGTTGTACAATAATGATTTTCTATTTTAGAACATTCTAAATATCTAGCAGCAGTTATAACCAATTAGTAATCACAAGTACATTAACATGTTTTGTTAAATGATGTATATCTCTTCTTAGCGTATATTACATAGTTTTTGTTTAACTGTTATGTAAGCTATTTTCACTGAGCAGCTCATTAACCTGAACTTAGGGTTCACTGAAAAAAATTTTTTTTCTTTCTTATTATATAACCTTGATTGATTTAACAAAGCTGGTATTTTTCTTTTATGAGTAATAAACCTACTCATCATTATCTCATCTGTAAAGTTTAGAAGAATTAAGTATTTCATCTACATAATTTAAGAATTCTAGCAAGATTTAGTGATGTTTTTGAACTCATTATATTTATTCTAATACTGTGGTATTTTATTAACCCACAAATGAAAAGTGAAAAAGGTAAAACACAAAATACCTGTCCCTTTTTTAAACTTCTGTGGTTTTCCAGTGAGAATGGCCCACATCACAAAATCTCAAAACTGTAGATGCTGGCATGGATGTGGAGAGAAGGGAACACTTTTACACTGCTAGTGGGACTGCAAACTAATACAGCCTTTTTGGAAGGAAGTATGGAGAACCCTCAAAGAACTCAAACTAGACCTCCCATTTGATCCTGCAATCCCATTACTAGGCATCTACCCAGAAGAAAAAAAAACCTTTCACCATAAGGACACTTGCACTAGACCAGTAGTTCTCAACCTTCCTAATGCCACAATATATTTTCATTGTTAAAAAGGGATTGCGACCCACAGGTTGAGAACCGCTGCACTAGACTGTTTATCACTGCTCAATTTACAAGTGCTAATATGTGGAAACAGACTAAATGCCCACCAACCCAGGAATGGACTAACAAAGTGTGGTATGTATATATATACACCATGGAATACTATTTAGCCATTAAAAAGATGGAGACTTTACATCTTTTGTATTAACCTGAATGGAAGTGGAACATACAATTCTTAGTAAAGCATCACAAGAATGGAGAAGCAAGAATGCTATGTACTCAATTCTGATATGAGGACAGAGAATGACCTAGTACATGGTGAGGGTAGGGGAATGGGAGAGCAGAGAGAGGGAAGGAGGGAGGGGGTGGAGGGGTCACTGTGTGAAACACCTTTTGGTGGGATGGGACACAATTATAAGAGGGACTTTACCTAACAAATGCAATCAGTGTAACCTGGTTCTTTGTACCCTCAATGAATCCCCAACAATAAAAACAAAACAAAACTAAAAAAACTTTCTGTAGTTTTTATTTGCTGCATTTACGTGACTTGGTACATATATATATTTTCCTACCCCCAATATTTTTAATCAGTCCATGAAAACAGGAATGCCTTGTCCCCCTGACTCAGTGATTCAATCAGTATCATCTAATTATCCAAATGGATTAATTGACATGTTTTGGTTGAGATTGTTTCATTATTGTTCCACCATGTATGGTGTAAGTATTAGAGTCATATTCTTAAGTTTAGATCCTATATAGTCAGCTTAGGCTGCCACAACAAAATATGATAGACTAGTGGCTTAAACAATAGAAATTTATTTTTTCACAGTATTGGAAGCTGGGAACCCCAGATTAAGGTCTGACAGGGTTGGTTTCCAGTGAGGACTTTCCCCCCCCCATTTGTAGAAAGCTGCCTTTTCTCTGAGTGAGCATGCACAGAGCAGGCTATCTGGGGTCTCTTCTTGCAGGCATTAATCCCATCTGAACAGGGCTGTACCCTATGACCCTGAATTCTAATACAGCCACACTGGGGACTGGGGATTGGGGCTTCAACATATGAATTTGGGGGTTAGGGGAAACATTCAGGCCATAAAATTGTCATTATTTAGAAAGTTATGAGATAAGATTGGACAACTCTTAGGGGAAATTTAGGTTTTTCTTGGGGTATTTATAATTTCCAGAAGAGAGGGAAGGAGTAAATGGTAACTAAATAAATGAATAAAATAAGCAATAATCTACTACTCTTTGAAATGCTGATCAGAAACCATTTTGAAAGGTTGGGTGTGGTGGCTCACACCTGTAATCTTAGCATCCTGGAATGCCAACACGGGTGGACTACTTGAACTGTAGAGTTTGACCAACCTGAGCAAGAGCAAGACCCCATATCTAAAAATAGCCAGGTGCCGGGAAGTGCCTGTGGCTCAAAGGAGTAGGTCACTGGCCCACATACAGGAAGTGGCGGGTTCAAACCCGGCCCCTGCCAAAAAATAAATAAAAATAAAAATAGCCAGGTGCCTATAATCCTAGCTACATGGAAGATTGACGGAAGAGCATCACTTGAGCTCAGGAGTTTGAGGTTGCTGTGAGTTATGATGCCATAGCACTCTACCCAGGTCGACAAAGTGAGACTCTCGTCTCAAAAAAACCCAAAAAAACAAAAAAAGTCATTTTGAAAATATTGCATGCTTTTTGTTTTACTTAGTGAAAGAAAACATAACCTTAAATGGATTAACTAGATATTTGAGCCCTTGAACCCTTCATAGAAAAGAATAAAATAAAAGTAATTATTTTTTCCCTAATCATTCATTCATTCTTTCATTCAACAAATTATTTATTGAGTACCTACATGTACTATGCATTCACTAATCTTGAGATTGGGCAATGAATAATATAGTCAAAAGTCTTTGCCTTCAGGGACCTCACATTCCACAGGCCTGGAGAGCACAGTTATACACGTATAGCACATAGATGCACTGAGCCACAGACTCATCAACTGTATATTTGGGATATTGATATTACCCATCTTGAGGGTGTGAAAACAAAATGAAAAAAAAATGCACATATGGGATGCCAAAAGACCCAGAATAGCCAACACAGTATTGAAGGAGAACAACAGAGTTGGAGGACTGACTAATAAGTTTGAAGACTTATTATAATTAAAAGAAAAACCTTAGACAACTTAATAGAGTTGAGCAAAGAACAATTCATGAATAAGGCAGCCCCTGAATCAGAATGGGTTCAGACTCCAGCACTGTGATGTGGTTGAAGAAAATTTATAGACAGGAAAAAGAAAGTGACATATAGAAAATGGAAGTGAGAGCAGAAGCCACTGGATTGGTCACAGCTCAGCATTTGTCTTATTTGAACACAATCTGAACAGTTGGCCACCGTTGCTTGGCCAAAATTTGGTTATTGGCACAAGAGTAGGTGACAGACTTCTCACATATCCAGGTTTGTTACAGGTGTCTATGTATAGAGAAATCTTTAGGCCAAACATAAAATACGTAAGGAAGCAACTTTAGGCTAAACTTAATTTAATACTATAAAGCTATAGTATTTAAGATAATATGATAGTTTTGCAAAAATAGACAAATCAATGGAATAGTATGCATAGCCCATAAATAGACTTACATAAATATAGTCAACTGATCTTTGACAAAAGAACAAAAACAATACAATGGCGAAAAGTCTTTTCAATGAAGGGTCCTAAAAAAACCAGTTATCTCCATGTAAAAAAATGAATCTAGACATAGACCTTATACACTTCACAAAAATTAACTCAAAATGGATCACATACATATGTAAAATGCAATACTATATAGCTCCAAGAAGATAACACAGGAACAAATCTAGACAACCTTGGGTTTGGCAATGATTTTTTATGTGCATCACTAAATACATAATCCATGAAAGAAAAATTGATAAGCTGGATTTTAGTAAAATTTAAATTCGAGTACTTTGCAAAAGACTGTCAAAGGAATAGAAAGATAAGCCATAAACGGAGGGGAAATATTTGCAAAAGCCATATCTAATGAAGTGTTATCTAAAGTGTACAGAGAACTCTTAGAACTCAGCAATAAGAAAACCTGATTTTAAAAATGGGCCAAAGACCTTAACAGATATCTCACCAAAGAAGATAGATAGATAATGAATAAACATGAAAAGATGTCCCATGTCATATGTCACTAGGGAAATGCAAATTAAAACCACAATGTAATATCCCACACACCTGTTAGAATGGCCAAAATCCAGAACATTGACACCACCAAATGCTGGCAAGGATGTGGAGTATCAGGTGCACTCATTCATTGGTGCGGGAATGCAGATTGGTCTAGTCACTTTGGAAGACATAGTCTTTCTGTAAGATCCAGCAGTTGTACTTCTAGTTAAGTAACCAACCAAGTTTAAAACTTTTGTCCACATAAAGACCTGCACATGGATATTTATAGCAACTTTATTCCTAATTGCCAAAATCTGTAAGCAACAGAGATGTCTTTCAGAAGGTGAGTGGATAAATAAATCATGATACATTCAGACAATGGAATATTAATCAGTGCTAAAAAGAGATGAGCTATCAAACCATGAAAATACCTGGAGGAAACTTAAGATGTTACTAAGTGAAAGAAGCCATTCTAAAAAGGCTACGTACTATATGACTCCACCTATATTACAGTCTGGAAAAGGCAAAACTATGGAGAAGTAAAAAGATCAGTGGTTTCCAGGGGTTAAGGGAGAAGGGAGCACGAACAGGTGGAACACAGAGATTTTTAGGGCTGTGAAACTACTCTATTTTTTAATGGTGGATGCATGTTATGTATTTGTCCAAACCCATAGAATGTACAACATTAAGAGTGAACCCTCATGTAAACTGTGGACTTTGGGTGTTAAGAATGTGTTAATGTAGGTTCATTATTTGTAACAAATGTGCCACTCTGGAGGAGCATGGTGACAATGGGGGACGCCGTGCACGTGTGGAGACAGGCAAGTTAGATGGGAAATCTCTACCTTCTGCTCAGTTTTGCTGTGAACTTAAAATTTCTCTAAAAAATAAAATGTATCTGAACAAATGCATGTAAAGGACTTGGCATATAGGAAGCAATAATTTTAACTATAATTACATTTATTATTAACAATAAAGCATATTGGAAAGGCTTAGCATACGATACGTTTTAAAGGGTTGCTTGCTAATTAATTGAAGTTTCCTGCTGACTTTAAAAATGTCATTTTATTGTATGATTTTTATAGTGCCACCTGTCTGTTTGATATCTGGACTAAATATGCCCCCAGGTTGCCAATTGACTATTACAACGAAAAGCTTTTGAAGGTTGGAGATATCCTTTTTCAGATGAAAGTAAGTGCCCCTGCACAAGAGGCCAAAACAAAACTCATTTGGCTTATTATTATTATTACAGTGTTTCTTTTGATACCATTCCTGTTTCACATGTTTTGATTTTTCCTTAGAGAAAAATTAATGAATACTTAATAATTTTAATGAGATACTGTAACCAAAAAAGGTGTTTGCTTTTTAATTTTGTTAGAATGTGGGATTCTCCAGAGGTGAGGGAGTCCTGAAAGGATAGGCATCTGGCTGGGGATGGGCAGGGGCACAGGCAGGGTTAACAGAGGGTGTGGTAGGTGCACAACAGGAAATGCTGAGTCATCATGTTCCCACCTTACACAAAGGAGCCCAGACACCACTTCCTGTTGTTTTTCACATGGCTGGCCTTGCACAGCCAACAACCCTCCTTGCTCCTGGCCTTGCAGCTCTGTTACCTGCTTCCCAGAGCCCTGTTTTAATGACTTTCAACTTCTTCTTAATGGTTTGCAGTATGTAATTAAAGCCGTCATACCTTACATACCCTGTCTTTTACTCAGTATTTTATTCCAAAGTGAATTTGTGCCTTATGTGAATACCTCGGTTTTGAAATGCTGTAGACCCATGGACTTGGTTTGATAAGACCACCCTATGACTGGATTTTCTGTTAATAATCGTGTGAATTGTCCCCTTATGCTGGCAGAGGCCCAGATTATTATAAGTCTAAGTTATATGAATGTTGGACGAAGGGATTTTGGGCCAGATATGGGCAGTATTCAGTGTTTTTTCAATCCTCAGTTTCTCAGCTTCATTTTTCTTTTCCATTTCTGTTCTCTGAACTTTAATCCTTTTGGTCTGAAAGGCAGACTTTCCAAATAGATAGTAAGATGTGGAGGAAATTTCATAATGAAGAACTAAGATTTATTCTGCCAAAGTTAGAGAATAGCTTAGCCCCACATAAACGGACCACAGTTCTTCAAAATTTGAAAATACAGGGCTATGAAAAGTATAGACAAAAAGTCAGGTGAGATCCAACTGGTAAGCTTTATTCATATGAAGTGGAATAACAGTTTTGACCGAATTAGAAGAGAGACTCCTCTCCATCCTTAAAATAATCAGTTTAAGAAGTTGGAAATACAAAGCACAATTTGGGGTTGTTTGAAGAGAAGCCATGTGGGTGGAGTGGATATTGGTGCATGTTACAAGCTGATAAAGCAAGTTAGATGATGGATAGTAGCTAAGGATTCAGAACGTTTCAGATGGAAAGGCCTAGATAGGATATTTTAAAACTTTGTTAAAGGACCAAAGAATAAAATTTATCTACTTTTCACTGAAATTATTTGTAATCCTGAAAACAAACTTAAGTTGTTACTTTGGTTTCTGGACTCTATTTTCATTTCAGTTATAGTAAAGTTCATCTTGTGCAATACTCTTATTTTGAACCTGGATTTGAATATATTATATAAATCAAGTGAGAATGGGAAGGATCACAGATTCATGAGTAAGCAAATAAAAAAGAAGTTAATAGAAATTTAAATAAAATAGTGTTTGACTGTGTACGCCTCCCCAGGGCTCAGTGACTGGACAGGCAGTTCTCACCCAGGGCAGTTGCTTTTCCTGGAGAAGGTTGCAGGGAAGGAAGCTGAGGAAGGGTTGCAACTGATTCCTATTTAGAGCACTGCTCACATGCCCTGCCTCAAATCCTCCAGGTCAACTGTGCCCTGTGGATTACAGAAATGAGGCTTCTGACTCTATAATGGGAACATAAGCATGAATTTGAATTAAGAAGGATCTCATGGCTCAGACTTTTAAAATTTGTCCTTTGGCAGCTTCAGAGGTTAGCAGATGAAAGGGAGACAACGAGATTACTCATCTTGGTCTGCATTTTTTTTTTCTCCTTTTTTGCCCTTCACTTTTCCCTTCTCTTTCCCCTCCTTCCCCTTGTCCTTTTTTTCTCCCTCCCTTTCTTCCTTATACTCCCCCTTTCCCTTCCCTCCTTTTTTTTTTTTTTTTTTTAAGCCTAAGCAATATCAGAGAAGCGAGACCCATTCATTTACTTCTCTGACTGAGTATGTTGGTTACTATGATCTGGTGAAGATGTAATTTTGGGTTTGAATTTTAGGTGTATGTAGACATCACCTACCACACACAGTACCATAGTGACTATTCTCATCTTTTTAATCATGACATTCCCATGTCACCATAGGCTTGTGAGGAGAATTACATGAAATGATGTGCAAAATTTGTGTAGCTCAGTGTCTGTCACTTGCTATGTGTTTGGAAAATGGTTGAGGTACTAATAGTAGTAATTGTAATAATCAACATTAATAGTATTAAGAATAAGAATATGAATATTAATCTTAATGATAAAGAAAATGATATTTTGAAACTTGAATCAAGTCTCAAGTCTTCTTTTTATTTTAGGAATACAAACTGGCCCTTTTACAGTGCTATGGAAGATACCTTCAGCAGTTTAGTACCCATTTCGATGGGAATAAAGCAGATGTTAATCAATTCAAAGCTATTTTTTTCCCAAGAGGCTTTGGAGATAAAACTGCTGGACTTACGGTAAGATGAAAGAAGCAGATAAAATAGTTACAATTTATGATAAGCTATGCAATATATCTCTTAGGTGACTGCTTCTAAATGTCTTTCCTTTGCATAGAGCATCTAGTCATGTGCTATAAGTTGCTTAATAAATACTTTAGTAGTGGATAAGAAAGTGAACTTATTAAGCTTTGTAAAGATGCTTTGGAGATTGGGTCACTATAATCATTCATCTAGCAGACAGTTATTGTTATAATAACTAATATTTGTAGAGTGCTTTTAGTTTGTAAAGTACTTTTGAAGACTTTTTGATCCTTAACAATAACTTTAGAGTTAGATTCATTATTATATCTATTTTACAGGGGAGAAAAATAAAGCTGATCATATAGTGTAAAACAATGGTTCTTGAGATTAAACCTAGATCTGTTGATATAAAACTTTTATGCTTTATTTTAACTATACCAGGATTATTGTGTCAATTACTTCCAGTGATTCACTGGTTGAGCAGTTACCATGTGCTAGGCATTCTTCTAAATGCATTATATGAGTTATCATCTCAGCCTCATTCAAGTCCTGAAAGGTGCCTCTTATACCAATTAGAAAATTGAAGCTTTTTAGATTTAGAAACCAGTCCACTTAAAACAGTGAGTAGGGTTAGGGTTCTAACCCTGATCAGTCTAACTCCAAAGCCATGTTATTTCAAACTTGATAACTATTCAAGGCGTTGGAAACAGTATATGGTTGATAAGCAGAAAATTTCAAGGCGTGTTTGAGAGAGCATGAGTAGTTCAATTTGACTGTACCATAAAGAATGTGTGAATGAGAATACTGGGCAATGTAGGCTGGCACCCTATTGAGGAAAAGGTCTCTCTTAGCCTCCGTGTTTGTAGCGTTTGACCCCCACCCTCTGCTTTTGATTTCCCACACTTTGCCAGGATTAATTTCTGAAGTGTAAATCAATCGTTTTATTCCATTGCCCTTTTGACTTAGCCATTTAAGTCCCAATTCTTTAGAATGACATGGAATGCTCTCCATTCTCTGACTCTGGGCCACCCTAGGGCTTCATTCGTTTATCTTAAACATTCTTATCTAATCTTACAAAAGACTTTTCAACTCAGTGACCACAGCATCAACTTCAAGCATTGCTAAGGCTGCTTGTGTTGTGCCCTCCATAGAGAGCCGGGGCTGTTTCTTCCTCATTCTGTTGCCAGCAGAGCATGGCAAATAGAGAGACTCAATAATCACTGACTGAATAAATTGTATAGAGTTATAATTACATCTGAATTAATAAATAGGTTAAAAAGCCACTAGGTGAGCTTACAAAAATAGATGCAATTCTCTATTTTTATACTTTTTTTTTGCTTTTGAATTTCTTTTGACGAAGGAAAGTTAATCTTAACTAAACAAATGTTTCAGAGATATCTTATTTTTTCCTACACCAATCAATAGAATTAAGCATAATTGTTTTCATTTTATTTTGAAGAAACGCTTTCCTGAGTTGCATAAACCTTATTTATCTTCCTATTTACATTTTCCCATGTGTTTCAGTTTCAAGCTTTAAGTGGCAAAAATATGTGCAAGTACCAGCTGGTCTGTGACAGTGATGTTGACTTGCAGAGTAAGGAGTCTGTGACCCAGTGTCTGCATATCTTGTCCTCCCTGAGGCTCATCATGCAGGTGGCTCTGCCACAGGAGCACCTCTGCTGGATTATCTTCAATGGTATCTACCAGTGGGTTTTATTTTCCATTGTGTCTTTCAGAAAGCTATTGAAATGCCAAGTTGATGGTAACTGGTTACCTTCTGATTTAAAACACATGCATTTCATAATAGGATGATTGAAAGAGAGACACTTTCACAGCAGAGAATTCTCAGACCATCGAGGCTTTACGAAAGATCTTTATTGGTGGGGGGAGGGAGGCTGCAGAGCAGCATCAAGGAGGAGAGAAAAGAGGGGAGAGAGAGAGTGGAGAAGAGCGAGGGGGAAGAGGAGCGAGGCAGAGAGAAGAGAAGGAAGACAGAGGAAGGCAGGAAAGAAAGAGAGAAATGGCAGGGCCGGGGGACATATTCTTATATAGGGGAGTTTTAGAATGGTGACAGGCTGGTGGGATACCCAATAAGGAGTTATTTCTCCAGCGGAAAGAGCCATTGGGGCGGGCAGCGGGAAATTGGAACAGGGTGATGAGGTTAGCAGGCCACTCCCTGTGCTAGGGAAGGAGTTGTAAGTTTAAGTGTAGGAAGGGGCTTTTTTAGGGGAAGGGGCTTTCTGAGGCAATAATCTAACAATGATTATGGTTTTATTATTATTATTATTTTTTACATTTGTACTACATTTTAATTGTCCCCATAAATAGGGACTTGTCTTTGAGTTTTCACTGAAGGGAATAATCATTTTTGGGTGTGTGAAAAGCAGAGGTCACAGTAATAATCAGCGGAGAAGGGTCAAAGGACCACTTAGTTAGACTAGTTCTGAGTATCAGCCACTTAGTAATCCTCTCCTCAAACAATTGGCTAATGGCTTTGGCTTTCTGCATAGTGACCTTCTTTTCCTACTTGTTTTTGAGTGAAGAGCTCTGAGGAGCACCCATCCCCACACACACATATGCACGCGTGTATACATGTACGTACATTACATACTCGTATATACCTTCAGAAATGAATCTTAGCCATAGAAATGTAACATCTGCTTTTCTTTACTTTAAAGTTACAGTAAGTCACTTGACTGCATTATTCTCTGGATAATACATTCTTAAAGGGAAAATAATAATGACAACGTGTTTGATGTGCCTAAGACCAGGGCCAAATAACTTCAAAGGGAATATATTGGGTTTTCCCTCATCCATGACAACAGAAAGTATATTTTCTAGACTTTTCCTTTTTCATGTGCCCGAAATAGTGTTTTGAAATTTTTATTGAAATTAGACTTTACATTTGCTGCCACAGATGAGGCCAACTTTGATGAGATTATTTTTTAGTCCAGTGATTGGTAAGCTTTTATGCCTGATCATCCTCAAGAGACTCAGTATATCCCTGAGATGCCACTGCCATCTCTCCACTTGAATTGCTCCCCCGTTTTGGTAGGGGCAGACTGAAAAGGAGCAGCAGTTCTGTGCTCAAAAGGCAATGATGAGCCCAAGGGCTAAGGCCTGTTTGCTGGAGAGGTAGAAATGATGCTGCATCATTCTCTGTCTTCAATCCTTCTAAGATCACGAAACTTTCCCCCTAAGTTTTTTTCTAATTTTTTCTTAGGAGGAAAGTTTTCACACTGGTGCCCAGGTTGCAGTGCTGTGGCATGATCACAGCTCACTGCAACCTCAAACTCCTGGACTAAAGTGATTCTCCAGCCTCAGCTTCCTGAGTAGCTAGGACTGTAAGTGTACCATGCCTAGCTAATTTTTAAAAGTTTTTGAGACCTGAGGTCTTCATATGTTGTCTAGGCTGATCTTAAATTCCTAGCATTAAGCTATGTTTCTGCCTTAGCCTCCAGAAATGCTAGGTTTATAAGTGTTAGCCACTGTGCCTGGCCCCTTAATAGTCTTAAAATAATTTACTATTTCTTTGTTCTTAATATCCTCTTCTTGGTGAGTACTTTTTCTTTTTGAAATACATTCAGCATTATGTTCTATATTATATTATTTTCTAATTTTTTTCCCCACTGAATACTATGGTTTTAGAATCTAGAATTTAGAATTCTGTATATAAATATAATTTGTTAACTCTGCCTGCTGAATTGTATTTCATATTTCCATACTGCCCTAGGGATGGGCACCTGGTTTGCCTGACCTCTCTAATTGCACAAATAATTCTGCAATGAATATCCTTGCACATGTCCTTTTATAGACCTGTGCAAGAGTTTTCTGGGATCTATGCCCAGGAGTGGAATTGCTGGGTCGTGGGAGATATATACACTTAGTTTCACTAACTACTGTCCCTGTGTTAATTTATTTACCTGAAACTTTCTGAGTGGCTACCATGCACTAGGCATTGTTCTAGGTGCAAGATACACAGGAGTGAAAGACACACAAGAACCCTGTTCCCAAGCTTACTTCTACAGCAGGGAGATGATAAATAAATAAATAGTGTCAGATAGTGGTGAGTTCTATGGAGAAAAATAAAGGCAAGAAGGGGATAGAGAGAGCAGGGGCAGAGCTGAGGGTGGGCTGCAATTTTATATGGATAGAATGGTCAGGGAAGACTTCACTGAGATGACAGTTAACAAAGACCAGAAGGAGTTTGGTGAGTGAACCATCTGGATATTGGGGGAAAGGGCATTCTAAGTGGGGGATTAACAAGTAGAAAGATCCCAATGTTTTGACGATTTGACATTTAAGTAGTCCAAAATATATTAGTAAGTTATCAAAATACATTTGACCTTTTCAATCAGGCAACTTACTCTGTTTACTTTTAGTTAACTATTATACACGTACATCCTGAGTTTCTTAAGATATTTAACTAATCTTGGTTTTTCTATAACATCTAAGTGGTGTATTGGATATGGATACCTTACTTCTCAACTAACCTGATCCCCATTAATTTAGACCCTCAGATAGATTATTTTGATGGTGGCCATCTTTGATGGAAAGGGTTCACGTGACCAGGCAATAAACTCATATTAGGGATTTGGTTAAAAATAAAACCAAAAACAAACTTCCAGAAATATCCTGAGATCATAAAGATTTTGTCTACGTTCCGTTTTTTACCATTTACTCTCTCATTCTGGCTTCCGCAGTGGGAATTTGAGAGCCATGCCAAGATCCTGAATTATCAAAGAAGGATTCAGTTGTAGTCAGAACATATTAGGGCTGGAAAGGTTAAAGCACACTTTTGAAATACAGAAGGCCCTTGTCATTCTGGAGTCTCCTGAGGCCTTCTTAAGTTCCCTAGTTCCCTGTTACTGACGTGTTTGTACAGGCTCCTGGCTTACACCTACCTCATGTGTTTTGTGGAGAGGCATGTGTTTCCTACACATAGCCTGACTTGGTGACTATTTCATTTCGACAAAGAAACTGTGATACAATTTTATTATTAAAGATTAATAGTAGATGTCAACAAAGCCAACTTGAGAAAGGGATGCTGGGCTTGAGCTGCTACTAATTCCATGGATCGTAAGTGGAGTAAATACATATCATGAAAGGAGTCTCACAAAGAATGCTGAGTCCTAGAATGTTAAGAACCGACTGCATTCTCTATGAAATTTATAGTGTTGTACATCACATGTGTTTACATTTTATTCAAGTTTTTGTCACTGATTTTTGCAATTAATGTTTACTAGGTATGTTTTAATCAAGTTATAGGTGTTTTGGTGCAGATTCTGTTTTCTCAGAAGTTTTTAAAGTTTAAATGTAAAAACAAAGGATTCATAACTGTTGAATTTTGATGGCTATGGACATTAGATATTTTGTACAAAGTATTTCCACTATCTGTCGTTATACTTACATGCCTTATAAAAGCACATTACTACCTTTATTTTGTGTTTATAGCTTGACAAAGTTCTTGGTATACAAAGAGATATGATGATGTTATTCCCCACTCCTCCAACCCTGCATTTTATCCTCATTTAATTCATAGTTTGACACAAAAGCATACTTAGATGATCTTAGATAGGTCTTGGGAATGCTTATTTTTCATTGGAGCGTTAATGGGACATATTTTGATAATGTTATATACCTGTGTATTTTATGAGTCTGTGAATGAATATGATGTGAACTGTTATGTGTTATGATTTTTAAATTATTAAGAGACCCCTTGTTGAGTATTGTACCATGCTGATTAAATATGTATTCTAATATTATTTGGAAAAAATCTTTATTTTTCCAACTGTAAGGAAATAATGAAAATCAATACCATTTTATATGAATTAATAAAACTACAGGGCATATAAATTATGTCACTAAAAAATTCTTTTGTTCAATATATTTCAAAACTTAAATTGCCTTTAAAATGAGACCAAAAGTTTCCTGTGTCAACATATTTAAAATATGGCCATATTAGTTATTTAAATGATTTTTCTACACATTACAAGAAAAATTATGGTGATTATAACTCTCTACCATTATTAGACTTCCTCATGGGATCACTTGTTTCAGGAACTACAGACTCAAACCACAGAAACTGGAATATAAAATTTCCACATTAGACTGTGCAACATGAGTAACAATCTTCTTCTCTATCTAGGTACCATTTACATTTACACCATTTGCAGAAAACTGATGATCATAGGTCAGTCTTCCAAGGTATGAAGTGAACTTACAAAATATTTTCCCCTATATTTCCTATTTTACTTTAAGACTTTCTTTACATAGTATATGGAATGTTAATGAATATTTAGTGAATTGTATAATATGAAATTTAGCAAATATATAATTTTACTATTTTTAATTTTACTTTAATAGTGGTCATATGTAAAATGTGGACAATAAAGTATTAATGAGAAAAAAGGGAATTCCTGATAGGTAATCTCAAGTGACTCTCTGTCTCTCAGATGGTCATACTTGGCACCACAGATACTGGATGTCCATCTGGTTGCTCTATCTCTAGGTAGGCTGACCATCCTGAGGCTTGCTCAAGATAGTCCTGGTTTATGCCTCTTGTCCTGGAATCATTATTAACAGTACCCTGTTTTACTCTTAAAAGTGTCTTGGTTTGGATGATAAACCATGGTTACCCTTTTTATGTCATGCTACGGAGCTTGGATTTCATTCTGTTTAAAGTGCTTGCACTTACTTAATGCCTATATGCTGATTGGGCAAATGAACACTTTAACCCCGTTATAAGACAAGGGCAAGGAGATTTTATTTTATAAGAAGATTCTCACTTCCCAATGCTTGGTTTTAGCTTGAGGAAGTCGCTGGCACTTCTAGTCACTTCCCTACAATGTTGGTAGAACTTTTGCTCCAGGAAGCATATTTCTTCCCTGTATTCATTGTCCAGTTATTGAAACACAATCCAAGAAGGGTAAATTTACTCCAGTGGAGACCCTGCTGGAGTTGTTGCTGGCATCTACAACATACTACTTTACACTTTCTTTCTTTCTTTTTTTTTTTTTGAGACAAAGTCTCTCTATTGCTCAGGCTAGAGCACCATGGTGTAAGCCTAGCTCACAGCAACCTCAAATTCCTGGGCTCCAGTGATCCTCCTCCCTCAGCCTCCTGAGTTGCTAGGACTACAAGTGCCCACCACAACACCCAGACAATTTTTCTGTTTTTAGTAAAGATAGGCTCTTGCTCTTGCTCAGGCTGGTCTCATACTCCTGCGCTCAAGGGATCCTCCTGCCTTGGCCTCCCACAGTACTAGGATTACAGCTGTAAGCCACCATGTCCAGCCTTTATTTTTCTTTATTCCATGCAAGAACCTTACTTGCAATATTCTAATACCCAGGAGAGGTACTTTTTTCTTATTTCTTAAAAGCATTGCTAACTATTTTAAATGCTGACAATATTTAAAAAATTAAAATGCAAGTAAAGATATTTGCATGCTCTATGGGTAACATTAATTGTGTGTTCTCTTTCTGTTTTGCTCCTCAAATAAAAAAAAAAAAAAACTGTTACTGTCAGTGACTTGAACAAGCTCTGTGCCAGCATTTTGAGTGTGAATTAAATGAAGGGATACTGTCCCATGTATAATGTAAATTTGGCCTACAGACTATTCTAATGACTCTACATTTGGTTCCAAATGATTTCCTAAAAAGAATTTGCACTTGGTATAACAACAAATACAGCTTCACAGGACCATCATAGTCTGGTCTGCTGCAGGGTTTGGCTGCCAAAGCTTTGAAGGGCAAAGATGTCTGTGCCAACATTTCACTGTTAGTGTTTGTACTTGTTAATGCTGAGACAATTTTAATTTAAAGTGATAGTCATCTTAAAATAACTTCTTATTTACAACCTACGCAAGACATCTCTCTTCCTCACATAACTTGAGTTTGTCTCTGACAAAATAAGGGGTGAGGGAGAATAGTTGTATGGTCTCACTTTCATGGGATGGGAGTAAGAGAAGTGAGGGATGCAAGAATTGCGGGGTGGTAGGTGGGTACACAGTTGCCACCTGAAGATCAGGATGGAATTCTTTCAGTTTGCTCAATATAGTAAGTTTCAAGGAAATTAATCATTTTCTCTCAGAAATTCCCTACCCTCTAACTGTTAAATTGAATCCTGAGCTGATATTAAAAATGGACTTGTGGGTTCAGTTTAATGGAGACAAGTCCTTGGAGGTCCCACTATGTCCAGGTTCTCCTGGGTCTGAGGGACCTGGATACTGTATTGACCTTAAGCATAGACAGGAGGAAAAATAGGTGTGGGATCCTCAGGCTGTTCATGGTGTCACTTGAAGGAACTCAGGAAATTTCATCCCCAAATATGATTTCCTCGTATAAAGAATATTTTGAATCAAAGGCTGTTTAAGGTCAAGAAACACTGCAAGAGGCTTTCCCTCCATCTGCATAAACTGGACTGATCTGATCAGAAGATCAAAGGGGACAGTTGATTCCCTTTTTATTGTAAGAATGAAGGTCAATGGGGCAGCGCCTGTGGCTCAAAGAGTAGGACGTTGGCCCCATATACTGGAGGTGGCAGGTTCAAACCCGGCCCTGGCCAAAAACTGCAAAAAAAAAAAGGAAAAAAGAATGAAGGTCAAGAACATGAGGAGACTTGGCCCAAATTGAGTAAGTCATCCAGGCCAGGCTCAGTGGCTCACACCTGTAATCCTAGCACTCTGGGAGGATAACGCTGGTGGATTGTCTGAGCTCTTGAGTTTGAGAACAGCCTGAGCCAGAGCAAGACCCCACCTCTAAAAATAGCTGGGCATAGTGGCAGGCGCCTGTAGTTCCAGCTACTTGGGAGGCTGAGGCAAGAGAATTGCTTGAGCCCAAGAGTTTGAGGTTGCTGTGATCTGTGACATCACAACATTCTACTGAGGGTGACAAAGTGAGACTCTGTCTCAAAAAGAACAAAAAAATAAGTCATCAATACCTGTCTTTCAGGTTAATCTACAAGTCAGTCTATTCCTTCCCCCAGCTATTCCTCCTCCCTAGCAACCATTTATGGCCCTATTCAATTCAATTTCTCCCTCTCCTCTAAATGGCATATATAAAAATATCTGAACATCACTGAAAAATTACGTTATCATTCTGTGATTTCTCCCTGGGTGCATAGTAAATAAATCCTTTCTCTTATTGATTTGCTTTAACTGTAAGTTGATCTTTCAGTGAACTTTTAGGGGAAAGGGCAAGTTTCTCCACACCCCTACACAAGTCTAGAGCCATCTAAACTCCCATTTCTATAGGACCTAGGCATTATGGCCATGATTATTATTGAATCAGTGCCCTGTCTCAAAACAAAACAAAATAAAACAAAATGAAGCAAAACAGAACAACTGTATAGTACTTAGCAAACATTAGAGAATATAATAGAATCCAGCCCAAGAATCTATTGCTTTCTCTTTCATTTCAAAATTGAAATAATTTGGCAAAGTATGCAGCTTGAGTAGCTCTTATCAAATTATTTCACGTATCATTACATAAACTTTGAATCCCAACTTCGAAATTGCTTCTGTGTCGTTATCAGTGAACGACATAGCTGATAACAGTGAAGCTGCAGTGCCATCCTGTGGCCAATCTGATTGTTCTTCCTACTTGATTCTTAAAAACACCCTTGCAGGGCCTGTATTCTAGAAACAGAATTCATTTGGTTTTTCTAACTTTTTTTCTATGAAAAGACTAGACTACTATATCCCCTATATCCAATCCATTTTTAAATAGAAATATTTATATCTAGCTTTTAAGGGTAAAAAATAATGCTACAAATTGAGTCATTTTTTGAAAATGACTTTTCATGTTTAAATTTTTTTTTTTAATTGTCACCCTCAGGAGGGTGCCATGGTTTCACAGCTCACAGCAACTTTAAATTCTTGGGCTTAAGTGATTCTTTTGCCTCAGCCTCCCTAGTAGCTAGGACTATAGGCCCCCAGCCACAATGCTGGCTATTTTGTTGTTGTTGTTGTTGTTGTTGTTTAGCAGGCCCAGGCTGGGTTTGAACCCACCAGCCCTGGAACATGTGGCTGGCACCCTAACAGCTGAGCTATGATCGCTGCCCCATATTTAAATTTGAAACATAGTTTTCTAGAATCCTAAGTCTTTTATGGTGAGCTTTGCCCCTTTGTCAAGGCTTCTCTGTGTGGAAAGAACACTGTAATAGGGAGTTCAGAGACCTGAATTATAGCCCCAGCCCATTTAGCCTATTGAAGTCAAATTAGACTATGTTTAAGGTCCTTGGTGGCACAAAGATCTGTGATTGTTTTTAATTATAACTCTAAATCCAAACCCAAATGGAAGCTATTTTTTTAAACTTTTATTTATTCATTATTTATTTATTTGGAGACAGAGTCTTACTCTGTCATTCTAGTGTAAAGTGCTATGGTATGATGGCTCATAGCAATCTCAAAGTCTTAGGTTCAAGTGATCCTCTTATCTTAGCCTCCTGAGTAGCTGGGACTACAGGCACTCGTCCCAACACCTGCCTACTTTTTCTATTTTTAGTAGACACAGGGTCTCACTTTTGCTCAGTCTGGTTTCCAACTCCTGAGCTCAAGCATTCCAACCACATCGGCCATTTACGGTTCTAGGATTGCAGGTGTGAGCCACTGCACCTGGCTGAACCTATTTTTATTTGGAAATATGAAATTTCTAATGCTAGCAGTCCCGAGGGATTTTGGAAAGACTTAAATTTAAAGGTAGATTTAAGTGGCTTAATCCCATACCAATCAAACCATAACAGTCCATATGCAAAAATACGCAATAAAGGTTTTCAGGATGTGAGAAACTCAGGAATTTTTAGTGATAGCCAATTTCATATCAGTTCACAGTAAGGTTATCAAATAACAACAGCAATGACAGCAACAACAACACCAGTGATAAAGTGATCTTGGGCTGACTTAGTAGAGGTACAGTGTCCAGAACCAGAGACTGAGAGTTTTCACTATACTGTGGTTCTCTCATACATGCTAGAGGGACTTTGACACCCTGGGGTGAAGGCACAGAAGACCAAGCATGATGGAGAAGGGCACTGCAGGTCTGTGAGGTGTGGAAATGCTGGGGAGGATATTTATCCTGGAGAGAGGCCAGAGGACTGCATAGATGTTTTCAGATTCCTTCTATTTATTTATTTTTTTTTTTGAGACAGAGTCTCACTTTGATGCCCTGGGTAGAGTACCGTGGTGTCATAGCTTACCTCAAATTCTTGGGCTCAAGCAAACCTTTGCCTCAGCCTCCTGAGTAACTGGGATTACAGGCACCCGTCACAGCACCTGGCTATTTTTAGAGATGAGGGTCTCACTCTTGCTCAGGCTGGTCTCCAATCCATAAGCTTAGGCAATCTGCCCACCTTGGCCTCCCAGAGTGCTAGGATTACAGGTGTGAGTCACTGCAACCGGCCCCTGTTTTCACATCCTTGTAAGGATATAATTTGGAAGTGAGTTTTAGATTATTTTGTGTTGTTCCAAAAAGCCCAACTAGGACCAATGTACTGGAGGCATATCAAAATGGATTTTATTTTAGGTTATGGAATATTTTTTCAGGTTTAAAATTGCCTTCTGCTGCCACATGGTGTGTTCCTTTTTACTGGCTGTAGAAACTCTTGGAGAGAGAAGTGGCAGGGCCTCTGTGATGCTTGTGATGGATATGGTGGTGGAGATGAAATTTAGATTGACTTTCAGCCCTTTGATTCTATGATTACTTGAAATATTTCCATATTTAGCACTATCAACTGAAACTTATATGAAGGTCAGTCAGTCAACAAATATTAATTGCATGTCTACTATATACTAGATAAAGTTCTAGGTGCTTGGGGTACAATTATGAACAAAATAAAGTTCCTTGCCTAAGTGAACTACGTTCTGGTGATATAAGCTTACATTACAGTGGATGGCAAAGAATGTTACAATTCTGTGTTAAACCCTGATCTACTTTCAACATTCTCTTTCCTGTAGAATAAATACTGACTAGTGGAGAACTCTGGCCTTTTAGCCTTTGCCTTTCTCTTAGATTTCCGCTGAGCTGCTTGTACACATCTGGTATATCCTGTCTTTGAAGGCTCCAGAGATGGGTAATAGGGTCTGAAGGTTTTCCCTATTTTTACTATTAAATAATATGTCAGTCTGGTGGGTTTGTTTTATGTATATGAAGCTCCTGGATGTTTCTGATTTGCCTTTTTAAAGTGGGACTGACTTTTTTTTTTTTTTTTTGAGACAGAGTCTCACTATGTCACCCTTGGTAGAGTACTGTGGCGTCACAGCTCACAGCAGCCTCATACTCTTGGGCTTAAGCGATTCTCTTGCCTCAGCTACTCAGGCGCCTCCCATAATGTCCAGCTATTTTTGGGTTGGAGTCGTCATTATTATTTAGCAGGCTCAAATCCTCCAACCTCTGTGTATGTGGCTGGCACCCTACTCATTGAGCTACGGGCGCTAAGCCATGATGTTTTTTCTTTAATGATTTCCTCAATTATTGGAGGCCTCATTTGTTATTGAAAGAGGAACTTTATCCTGCTGTCCAAATTTATTATCATTATTTGACAATCTAGAATAATACTTACTAGCTATCTTGTGGTTTGTTCTGCTGACTTTAGGCTTGTTCTACTGAACTCATTCAGTAATGCTTGGGAATATCTGTTATGTTCCTGCCATTATTGTAGGTGCTGGTGAAACAACAGTGAATATGGTTCTGTTCTTACTTTCTTTTCTCTCTTTCTAATTCCAATTAGACTTTTCTATTACATATCGTTGGCCCCTGGCTCACCGGCTGTGAGCCTTTTTCATGTTCTCTACCTCCTGTACCAGCTAATACTCAGAATAATACACTGCTTCCAGGCTAGCTAATAATAATTGTATTGTTGGCGTTAGCTACTACACTACCATAGACATTTGAGAAATATTAATAAATTGAGCCAAGAAGCTTAAGGAGCTAAGAAGGAAGACATTATAAAATGGCTAATTTGAGATTTTGAGTTCTCCATTCCCTTACTTTTTAAATGCTTGCTTTTTCTTGAGCCATTGTTTATGGTATTTTTGGTTTATATAATCAGCAACTTGTGCTTACAATTTACCATTTGTTGACATTAAATAAAACTATCATTATTAGCTTAAAATGAAAATAGATGTGATCGTATCCTTTGTTTTGCAGGCCTTAGAGTATCTCCTGTGGGCCAGTGTATGTATGGAGTCTTCCGTGTCACTCCTGGCCGTCAGGTACTTGACGTGGAGAGTTACTCTCTACACTGCCGTCTGCCAGTGCTACTACGACTGCCAAGATGGCATTCACGGAGAGGTATGTGACTTTCTAATTCATGGCATTCCAATATTTAAAAATATAGCTCATCCAGCATTTTCTACCTTAGGTGCCTTTGAGGAAAAACAGAACAAAATAAAACAAATAACAACAAAAACAACAACAACAAACCACCAAAGAATTGAAATGTAGCAAAGCCAAAAGTTCACTGAGTTATTTGCGGAAATTTGCTTGGTTTTTCCATTCTGCTGATCTCTTTTCTTCCTTTCTGCTCTCTTTTTTATTCTCTATTAACTGCTACCCTCTTTGCTCCATTTCTGAATATGATTTCTGTTATCTTTTTTTAATTAAGTTTTTATTTTGAATTGGCAAATAATAATTGTATATACTTATGAGGTATGATGTTAAGTTTTGATAAATGTGTACATTGTGGAATGATTATTTCAAGCTGATGAATGTGTCTATCACTTGACCTTTTTATCACTTTTTCGTAGTGAGAACACATAAAATCTATTCTTAAGTAATTCTGAAATATATAATGTGTTATTAACTGTGGTAACCATTTCAAAAACTTGTACCTTCTGTCTTTCCATCCTCATTTTGCTCGTATACAAGCCAGTTTCCTTCCCTGTTTAGTTTTGTATTCTTTACCATTTACTATATTCTTGACTTGCTTTTCTCTGCTAACCACCATTTAGTACGCTTTCTAATCACCATTTAATACACTCTATTTCTTTTTTTCTAGTGGTGACATATTTTGTTCTAAAGCTACTAAAATGATAAGTAATGGACCGTTTGTATAGTTTTTTAAAAATTTCAAAATATTAAGGAGATACAAATATTTTTGTTACATGGATAGTGTTTGTTATGCTTGAATCAGGACTCTAAGGATGCCCATCACTTGAATAGGGTTCATTGTACACATTAGGTAGGTTTTTGCCCCTCCCTTCTTCCTCTTGCTTAATTATCAATGCCTTTTACTTTTCTCTGGGCACACATGTGCCCTAGTTCCAATCTATTACAGAGTTTAGTTTAGTTTTTCCATTCTTGAGGTGCTTCACTTAGAATAACAGTCTCCAGTTCCATCTAAAATTGCTGCAAAATGTATTAATTCATCCTTTTTTATGGTTGAGTAGTACTCCATGGTATACATACATGTACAACACATTCTGTTAATCCACTCATGAGTTGACAGGCACTTGGGTTGATTCCCTATCTTTGAAATTATGAATTGTGCTTCAATAAACATTTAAGTGCAAGTGTCTTTTTGATAAAATGACTTCTTTTCCTTTGGGCAGATACCTAGTAGTAGGATTGCTGGATCAAAGAGTAGGTCTACTTTTAGTTTGTTCTCCATACCGTTTTCCATAGAGGTTGTGCTAATTTTCAGTCCCACCAATGGTGTATAAGCATTCCTTTTTCTCTGTATCCATGCCAATATCTATTGTTTTTGTACTTTTTACTAAAGGCCATTTTAGCTGGGCATGGTGGCTCACGCCTATAATCCTAACACTCTGGAAGGCCAAGGTGGGTGGAATGCTTGAGCTGAGGAGTTTGAGACCAGCATGAGCAAGAGATAGACCCCAACTCTACTAAAAAGAGGAAAAACTAGCCGGGTATGTTGGAAGGCACCTGTAGTCTCAGGTTCTTGGGAGGCCGAGACAGGAGAATTTCTTGAACTCAGGAGTTTGAGGTTGCTGTGAGCTATGGCACCATGGCACTCTACCCAGGCCCACTGAGTGAGACTGTGTTTCAAGAAAAAAGAAAGCCATCTGACAGGGGTAATCTGAATAGATATCTCATTGTGGTTTTAACTTGCACTAAATGATGATGATTAGTGATGCTGATTAGTGATGTTGTACTAGCAATTTTTCATTATTTGTTGGCCATTTGTTTATCTTCTTTTGAAAAACTTCTGTTTATGTCTTTTGCCCACTTTTGTAGTTTTGAACATCTGATTCCTATTGAGAGTCTTCCATGTTGGAAAATTTATTTATTTTTTATTATTTTTTTTACAGACAGAGTCTAGTTATGTTGACCAAACTCATCTTGAACGCTCAGCCTCAAGTAGTCATTCTACCTTGGCTTCCTGAGTTCTGGGATTATAGGCATAAGCCACTGTGCCAGTCCTCCTTATTGGAAATTTTAGCCCTTCATATATGTTAATATTGTGATTGGCCTAGAAGCATCTACATTAAACATTATAAATGAAATATTTCAAAGAAATGATGAAATGAATGGCATGAACTCTTGTTATTGAACTCTTAATAACTCTCTCAAGCTGTTTTGTTACCTCTGAAGAACTATAATAATGATAATATGATTAAATAAGAAAACCTGCTTCCTTCCTTCCTTCCTTTCCTCAGATATTTACTAAATACTTCTTGTATGCTGGGATACAAAAATGAATAATACCCTTTAAGGAACGCAAAATTTAGCAGATGTCACGAACAGTTAAATAGATAATGCAGCATGTTATGGTAGGAAGGTTCAGATTTGAGAAGGGCAACTAACGATGGTTTTGTGTGTGTGTGTTGTGTGTGTGCACATCCCAGAGAAGTAATAATCTGTAGGAAGCTACTGTTTAACCCATATTTTGGTTTTCCTTCCTTTTCTTTGAATTTCATAATTTATGAAATTAGCATACCCGACAGCTTATTAAGTTTAGATTTATAGAGTTTAGTGATACTTATAGCACATGATAGACTGGATAGATAGCTTCCATGTTATAAGAAGTCAGCATTAGCCTGAGCTTCATTCACAGATTAAATCAAATGTCTTGCAGAACAAAACACATTGTCTTTATACATTTTTAATCCCTGTATTCTAACTTATTATTAATTAAATTTGTTTTAATTGCATATAGGCATTTGCTCGTCGTGCGTTAGCTAAAATTGATGAGTTAAGACAGCTGGAATTACTGAGTTTCTCAAAGTCACAGGAAGAATCCTCAAGACCTTATAGAGAGGCTGCAATAAAGGTATAAAAATTTCATGAACTAAAAGAAATTTACTGCGGTCTATGGCTGATTAAGTACTTAATATTAGTAGTTGACAAATGCATCCTATTGTTACTTCATTATATAATTCCTCTTTTTGAGGCAGATGGCAGTGATGATCTTCAAAAGAGGAGCCTTTGAGTCTAGAAGAAAAAACAAATCTATCTTTAGACCAAAGATAAGAATTAACATAAAGGAAGCACAAAGTGTAAGTCTAAAAACATCTTCTCAATTTAAGACTCTTTTTTGCAGTATATTTGTGTGATATGTCTTTTAAACCTAGTCCCTCATTATTAAATCTTGTCCCTGATTCTCTGCACCAATGGGCAAAATGAGAGAATGATCTCCCAATTTGGACATGGCCTCACTTCATCTCTTTCTTTCTTTCTTTTTTTGTTTTTAGAGGAAGCGTCTCACTATGTCAACTTGGGTAGAGTGCCATGGGTCATAGCTCACGCAACCTCCAACTCTTGGGCTTAAGCGATTCTCTTGCCTCAGCCTCCCAAGTAGCTGGGATTACAGGCGCCCGCCACAACACCCAGCTATTTGTTGTTGTTGTTGTTGTTGTCATTGTTGTTTAGTAGGCCTGGGCAGGGTTTGAACCTATCAGCCTCTGTGTATGTGGCTGGAGCCCTAACCACTGAGCTACAGGCACTGAACCAATTTCATCTCTTTCGCAAAGCTGAAGAGGAACCTGTGAAAGGTTTGAATGAACAGGCTCTTGAAAATACACAGGTCTCTGAGTGCTTCTGCACATGTATGTGTCTCTGACTGCTTCGTGTTAGCTTAGCGGGCTTGGAGGTTGCACAGAAGATGGAAGCCTTAGGCTTCCTCACCTTTGGGAGTGTTCAGGAACTAGGTTATCCTGTTTCAACAAACAGCCCCCATACCTCATGTGGCTTAAAACAATAGTTTATTTCCCACTGGAGTCATATGTTATTATAGTTATTGGAAGCTCTGCTTTTATGAAAGCAGCTCATGGGCAGGCTAAGGAGCAGCCCTCATTTCAGAAATTGCTGGTTATTCTGCAGAGGGGATAGAAGAGAGTTCTGGAAGATCTTGCACAGGCAGTGATACTCAGCATGGAAGTGACATGAGTCTGTTCTCACATATCATAACTAGTCACACAGCCCCTCCCAACCACAAGCATATTTGGCAAACAGCACTAAGGACTATCCCAGGGAAAGGAATAGGACAAGGTTTTGCCTGTCCTCTTCCCCCTCCTGCCTCTTGATTTTCTTCTTCCGGTACCTGTCCCTTTTCTTTTATGATTCTCAGTATCCCTCAAAACCAGTTTTATATCTTGCTGAAACTTCCTCTGACTGTTCTAGATGGCCATACACTTTCTTCTGTGAGTTTCTGTGTAGGGACTGAAAATAAAAGCGAGAGGGCAGAGGATGAGAAGCTTTTTCAGAAGAGTTATAAGATCTCAGAACCTGGAAGGGGTTTTGGAAACTACCTGGTTCAGTTTTCTTCTATCACAGTTGGGGAAAATAAAGCTCAGAGTATTTAAATTACTGGCCCAGAGTCACCAAGGCAGCCATTGATGGAACAGGTATCTCCAAGTCCACTGCTTTCACACTACTCCAACGACAGTTGCTGTCTATCCCCCTTTCTTGTTAAAACATTTAGGAGTAATTCTTTTTTTCCCTTTTAAATAAATCATGATATTTAAATACAAATATATTTGGACATAGTACCTTACCATTGCTACTCGGTGTGACAGTATCTACTACTAAGCCCAAAAGTACATTTTACACATCCCTTTAAAGTCAGGTCCCTTACAGACCTGAAACTATAAAAATTCTAGAAGAAAACCTAGGAAAAAACTCTGCTCCCCTAAAAAAGAAATTATCATATCAAAAAGATATCCGTACTCATATGTTTATCACAGAACCATTCCCAGTAGCAAAGTTATGGAACAAACCTAAGTGTTCATTACTTGTTGATTAGAAGAAAATGCAATACACAGCCTGGGATACTATTCAGCCATACAAAAGAATGCAATCATGTCTTTTGCAAGATCATGGGTGGAACAAAGTCAAATACCACATGTTGTCACTTACAGGTGGGAGCTAAATAGTGAATGCACATGGACATAGAGAGTGAAATAATAAATGCTGCAGGGAGAGGGAGGTGTGGGATGGGAAATTACCTGATGGGTACTATGTTTACTTAACTGAGTGAGGGTTTCACAAAAAGCCGAGATTTCACTACTATACAGTGTATCCATGTCATAAATCTACACATATGCCCCACAAATCAATTAATAAAATAAAATAAACCATTTCCATTACTGACCAACAGTATATAATTAGTGGGGGTGGTAAATTGCCAAATTATAAGCCAATTTCTTGGATGAACTATTGAACTGGTCGCCTATGTATTGTTAAATAGTAATGCTAGAGTCTTTGTAAAAAAGCAAGAGACAGTATTTTTCCTTACCAGCATTTTTTCTTTGAGCAAACCAAATTTAAATAACCAAAGCTGCAAGATTGACATTACTTAATTATTAGGACTTATAGTCATTCTGACAGAATTAATTATATTTCCAAAGAAAAATGTTTAAAATCCCAGATAAAAGTACCTTAAAAACTCATTTATCTCTTTTTTCTTTTAAGATAATAGTATGAAAAATTCTGGTGTCATTTATTTTGGAAAAAGATTATAATTATTTAGTGGGTAGTTTTTACAGACTCGTCAATATAATCTTGTAACGTCATGCTGTATTACACTGATATGTTTGCAGAATATCCTGCTTCATCTATATGAAATAACTTTATTATGTTTCTACAAAATAGTCATTTCAACATGCATTAATTCTATTTTCCAAAACATTTGTGAGTTTGTAAGTCAGTTGTAATCCCACAGTAAATCATTTGACTTCCAAAAGATTCTTTGAAAGGATGACTAATACAGACTCCGAATAATCAATCATGTTGCGATTCATTCAACAAATATATTTTAGGTACCTGCTATGCAAACAAGAGAGAAGATGATTATATTATAGTGAAGAAATTACATGGTAAAATAATTATATCTTGTGATAAATATTAAGAAGGAAATAATGGTAGTGGTGTGGCAGGGATTAAATGAGTTACATGTAAAACTCTTAGAATGTTCCTGGCATTTATTAATAGTAGGTTCTCAGTAAATATTAGCTATTATTATTATTTTTATTCATCCAAGAACTCCATATATATTAAATACTGTGGTTTCAAGAATAGTGGAATATAAAAATACTAAGTCACAGTCCTTGCGTTTTGAATGGACTTGAAATAATGAGCAAGATTTGACTAGACAGGGAGGAGAGAGGAAAACATACTAAGTGAAGGACCAGAGCATGATCATGGCTTACAAGCCAGAATAGGCAAAATTTGTTGGGTGACAGTGAGAAATAGAGCTTGATTAGGGTAGGCATATGATGTTGGGGAATTAACATAGTACATCTCATAGAGTAGATATCATGGAGACCATAGTATTTAAAGGTGGAACAAATTGTATGGTGGTGTCATCCTGATTCTCATCCATCTTGGCATTTTAAACAATAGTACTGTATATCTTATGCAGTATATATACCATGATTTGTCTATTTTTTTTTACTGTTATTTAGTTGTTTCCATTTTTTTGCTATTATAAGTATTGATGTCAGCCACATCTTTAGGCATACTATTTTTCTCTTTATTTCCTATAAATAAAATTCAAGATGCAGGATTTCTGAATCAAGGGAAACAAATACTTTTATTTCTCTTTCATATATTGCCAAATTGATTTCCAAATGGATATCTCTATTTTCTCTTCTTCTTCTTCTTCCTCTTCCTCTTCCTCTTCTTCCTCTTCCTCTTCCTCCTCCTCCTCCTCCTCCTCCTCTTCTTCTTCTTCTTCTTCTTCTTTTTTTTTTTGAGACAGAGTATCACTTTATCACTCTCAGGAGAGTGCTGTGGTATCATAGCTTGCAGCAACCTTCATTCCTGGGCTTAGGCGATTCTCTTGCCTCAGCCTCCCCAATAGCTGGGACTACAGGTGCCTGCCACAATGCCTGACTATTTTTTGTTGCAGTTTGGCCAGCGCTAGTTCGAAACCGCCACCTTTGGTATATGGGGCTGGCACTCTACTCACTGAGCCACAGGCGCCTATCTCTATTTACAAAGTGACAACCTACATGTACCAATTTTACCACAAGTTATTATTTTGATATTATTTGTTTAAACTTCTTTTTTTTTTTCTTTGCAGTTTTTGGCTGGGGCTGGGTTTGAACCTGCCACCTCTGACATATGGGGCCAGAGCCCCACTCTTTTGAGCCACAGGCGCTGCACTGTTTAAACTTCTTTTGCAAATTCAGTTTTAATAAAATGGCTCATCATTTTAACTTTATTTCTCTGATCTAGTTTTTCCTTATATTTGTGTTTACTCTTTATATACATTTTTTTGTGTTTATGAAGTATCTTTCTCAGTCTTTGACCATTTATCTACTGCAGATTTTTAATTTTCAAAATACATTTGAATGAGCTCATGGTTTTTGTGACATTAATTTTTTTTTTTTTTTTTT